CAAAAACTACAAAGAAACCCGAGAAAAATCAATGAAAGATCAACCAAGTTTATGGCAGTGAATATGTGGCAGCGACGGAGCGACGAAAAGGAGCGACATTATCGGTCGACCATCGGAAAAATGTCGAGCGATACGACTGTTTACGAAAGCTCTCGAAGTCTATACGAAAAAAAAACGATAGGGAGGGATAGACACTGTACCTGGGGCACACATCGGTCCATCACGTGACCAGTGTTTCATACCTTGTCACAGACTAGTTTGTATCCCGCGAGGCGCGCAATAGTGACGTAATACCACAGGTAACCCACAGCGCACGCCGATTCGATAACATAATATAAAAGTACGTGCTTACTTCAGTACGCCACGTTAATTTAACGGCCGTTTACTACGTACTCGTACCAGGCTGTACCGTCCGCTTATGCAACCGCGCGTTTTAATCTACGTCACGAATTTACCTTAAGTTCAGTAAAATATCCCGGGGTAGGCAACTAGGCCGCTTGCCTTTGTTCTCTCGTCTGCTGGGTTAATCCAATTATTCTGACAGTTGGGGTGGCCATCTATTTACACAGCGATGACAGATTCGACTGCAACAACCAATGAAAAGAGAGACCATAACAGTCAAACAAGCCTCTTCGGCTCTTCGCTCGGAACCGAACGTTAGCGGAAAAAAAAAACTTTGGAGTAATCTGAAACGAGATACGTGATGCAGCGACCTTGGCAAAGGGTCACTTTAAATGTCATCGATCAAATGGCCAAGAAAATTCTTTTGCCAACAAAAGTATTAAACACCGACGCTGTGAGCCATTCATCAAAAATCGTAATAAAAATAAACTTGTCGAACAACAACCGTATCATTTGTAGACCTTTGTAGTAATAATAAACCGCCGATCCGTTGAATACACTTCCGCGAAATGTCAATCATCAGCTCTGCCATTCACCAACACTCGTCCAGATCGCGCAATAGCGTGAGTGATTTAAAAACTTAAACCGTTTAAGCCGTTTAAATTTAAACAGTGTTGACACTGGTTGTAGAACAAACAATTATATTGCCGATCGCTCAAGAAACTGTTTATTCGACAAAATGTCCAGGTAAGGCTATTTATTTTATTTTTCTATTTTYATATTAAGGCTATAAACTCTCTTTGCACTTATGTTTTTTTACCCCGAAGTTTTTTCCCGCTAACGTTCGGTTCCGAGCGAAGAGCCGAAGAGGCTCGTTTGACCGTTATGGTCTCTCTTTTCATTGGTTGTTGCAGTCRAATCTGTCATCGCTGTGTAAATAGATGGCCACCCCAACTGTCAGAATAATTGGATTAACCCAGCAGACGAGAGAATGCTGGACATAATGCTGGACAGGATTATACCCAATACGTGAAGTCTTTAACACACAGTCACGCCAAGAAACTTTATTTTAAGGAAAACTAGTTTCGTCCCAGAWTRGACYTTTTCAATTCCTTAAGTTTACAATTTGTACGTTTGGATTTCTACGATTTTTAAACTAATCGCGCGCGCTCCGTAGAAAGCGCGCGCTAATTAGACAGCTATGACTACATTTATGATTACAACAAGTATTTCTACGACAGTTCGATATTAGCACGTGGTATTAAGACAGTGTTCCACTCTGTTTTGGTGTTCATAGATCTTCCTTCTCTCTTTATCCTCACCGATTCTGTTATCTGTCGTAGCATTGGGTCTTGACTGTATGTTCCTGTGAAATTCATTACAAAGTCTTGTAAGATGCCTCTGTGTTTTTCAGAGCATGGTATGGTATACCTTTATTTAACCACGGTTAAAACTTCAGCTACATGACATTAAAAGTAAAAATAAAAATGTGTTTCTTTAAGATCGAATGTTCCCTGGTGTTAGAGTCGACACTTCTTACATGCTCTCTTCCTCTTGTAAAMGCGTTTCTTGATGTTTCACCTATATATTTATCTTTACATGACTTGCATTCGATTTCGTATGTTATACCTTGCGTTCTACACGGTCCAGTACCTCCAGTCCGACATACCAGGCACTCTTCTTCCTCACATACTTTCTTCCTAAACGGRTTAGATCTTTGCAGCACCCTCTTTACATTCGTCTCTGACTTTTGCACGATCTTTATGCCTACTCCCGATTTCCTCACGTCTTCCTCTAGAATTTTTCTTAACTCTGATTTAGGTGTTGCAGGTATGAATATAACACTCGAGTATATTCCTCTCTTGTACCAACTCGTTCGTTTTTCTTTCTTCTTCTCGTCACGTTCAGCTTTCTTCCATTCCTTTGGTCTGTACATAGTTCTTAATCCTTGCTGGTCTAGTGCTAAAATCCGTCGGTATGCATTCAACGCTGACTTCACAACATCATATCGGAATTCCTCTTTATAGCCAGTGTACTGCATTCTTGCAACCATTTGATTACTATGAGTCACAGTCTGTTGGTCACTGTGAGCCTTGGCGGATTCGTTGACCAGAATATCTGCGCAGGTTTTTCCAGTTCTTTGCTTGTGTTCGTGGTCTTTGATAGATGGTCCGTGTYCATATCCATCAAAGACAATACAGCAGTCACCGTACCTTGTACGGACATATTCAACATACTGCATTGCTATCCCCTTGTACGTTGTCTTCTTTTGCCACTTAACTCTGTGCGGAAGCGCACCACCATCAAGAACCCACATGGTTTCTGTATTTTCCGCACAGGGTTCAACGCCATCTTGTAGGGCTTTAGCTAATTGCGACTTTCTA